ATCGGCTTCACGCTCGGCGAGTGCGACGTCCCGTTCCCGGCACGCCTCTTCCCGAAGCCGTAGCTCCTCTGCGAGGCGGTCCGCTGAAGCTTTCGCGACGAGGGTGACCCGGTCACGCTTGGCTGCGGCCTCTTCACGAAGGCGAAGGGAGGCCTCCACCTCCGCCGCCATTCTCTCGTGGGCGGCCAAGGTGGACTCCCGCTGATCCAGCAGACGCGCTCGCTCCTCCAGCGCCTGAGCCCGCCTCTCCAGCTCCTGGGCTCGCTACGCCTGCTCCTGGCTGCGCGCGTTCTGCTCGCGCTGGCTCCGGTCGAGGACCTCGATTCGCCGATGAATCGTGGTCTCGAACTCCTGCGCGGAGCGGGAACGCTCATCCAAGGCCCTGTGTTCAGCCTCGAGCGCCGCCGTCCGGGCCCGCAGCGACGTGTCGGCCTCCGATACCCGCCGTTCTTGGGCAGCAGCTGCGTCGAGGATACTGCGGGCATCCTTGACCCTCTTCACCAGGTCCTCGGCATGGGACTCGTACTGTAGGCGGATGTCGCCCAACGCTTCGTCCAGGACGCTTGAGGCGATCAGTGCCGCCTGCCGCTCTTCCTCCGTCTCCCGCATGACGGAGTCCAGCGTCTCCTCGCGCGCCTGAATTTCAGCCAATTGGGCTTGGCGCATTTTGCGTCCCACCTTCACCATGTCGTCCACGGCGCGGCGCCCCTCGTCAACCCGCGCGCGGTCCGCAGCAAGCTGTGCCCACTCTGCCTCCAGGGCTGCTCGCTCTTCCGCCAGGGCTTGAACTTGGGCGTTGAGCCCCTCCCGGACGGTGGAATCGGCGGCGGCGAGCACCTGCAGGAGCGGTTCCATATTTGCCGGAGTTGGAGAAGAAAAGGTCGTGGTCTGCCCCTGGGACGACGGAGTGCTGCTGGATCCCCCGCGAGACTGGGGGCTGCTCTCGGCCCCTCTTCTGCGCAACCAGCCCCGAGGGCGCCCCAAGTGCAAGGGGGAGCGGCCGTCCCTCTCGCCCCCCGTCTCGGGTCCTCAGGTAGATTCAGCCTCGGCCTCGGGCTCGGGCCCGCCCCCAGTTTCGGTCTCGACCTCGAGCTCAGGGCCGCCTCTGGCCGCGGCTTCCGAGCCACGACCTCCCTCGCCCCCCGGTCCCGGGTGGCGCTCCGCATGGACCCTGGTCTCGGAGCTGCCCCCGGGAGGGGCATCACCACCGCTATCGCCCGCTGCGAGTCGAGTCCTGGCTGGGGTTAACTCGGGGTCGGACCCGGTATGTGGTCTGTGGGCCCCGCCGAGAGGCTGTGAAGGCCCCGCGGCCTTGGATCGGCCAAGCCCGGGCCGCTCCGATCATTCGGATTTGGTCCCCTGCGAAGGGTCGGACCCTGAGACCCCCTAGGAAGGAATCTCGCTACAAGAGAACCCAGATCGCGTTAACGAAGAAAAAGAAAAGGAGGGAACAACAGACCGAGCTGGGTAAAAGCACCGAAGTGGGTGCCGGCAATCGTACCTGCGGGGAGGGCGATTGAAAGTCCACTTCGGGGGCTCAATGAAGCTCCCCCGACACGGCTCCATTTGTCCTTCTTCCGGAGCCGCTTCTTTTTCCGTCCGGCCTCAGGCCCGGCAGGGCGCTTGTGGCCCGCTGGCGGACGGTCTGCCACGCGCTCGGCGCCCCCTCCACGTGGGGGAGAGGGCAGTCGAGATTCGGGCATCTTCCGTTTCCCTTTCGGGTCGCTGGTCGAGTCGTCCCCGGGTCCGCGGCTCGGGCCGGGTGCCCTGGAGCTGCCACCCCCGCCGGGTCCGCTCGTCCGACTCCCGCCTGTGGTCGCGCCACTGCCACCCACGCCGGCAGCGCTACCATTTGTGCCGCCCCGGCTGGACCGGCTCCTGCCGGCGCCGACGACCGACATCACGGCCAGGATGCTCTCCCGATCGCGGTCGCAACAGAGGGGAAGGATCCCGTCTGGAATCAGTGTTTGCTCGGCGGAGTCTAGGCCCAGCACCCGCCGAATCACCATCTTCGCGTCCTCCTTCCCCCAGTCCCAGCGCTCACCCACATGCGTGCGTATGGGGTCGTTGGGACCTGTGTACTCCCACGCGCCACGGGATCGATCCTGGAGAGGTGCGATGCGGCGGCGGAAATAGTCACCAAAGACCATTGCCCCTGTGAGGCCCAGGCTTCGCAGGCCCCTAAGGCGATCCCACACCGCGTCGTACTCCTCGCCCAGCTCCGAAACCGCCAGCCATGCGGCGGATCTTTCGAGAGGACTAGCGGGAATCCGAAGTCGCGGGTGGTCCGGCAGCGCGGTGTAGAACCAGTCCTCCCATTTCTTGCGGAGATGACTCTCGATGTATTGCCCCGCCGTGCCTGGCCGGGGCTGGAAGTAACATCCCCCCACCACCGCACCTTGCAGCAGCTGCGGGATGAAGAAAGACTGGAACAGCCGCATCGTCAGCCGCACCCCGATGAACATCTCGCACAGATGTGCGAAGATAGCCAGCGTCATCACGGCGTTGGGTGCGAGATGCAAGGTGTGGATTTCATAGAAATCCAAAACCTCATGGAAGAATCCGGAGAACGGTGGAATCAACCCCGCCATAGCGAAGGACAAGAGGTGCACAGATCGCTCCGGATACCGCGGCCGCGGCCGCAACTCCCTCGCCCTCACGACGGCGCCGTCCGGCATGATCTTGCGGGGGAGGTTAAGGTGCCTATCCACCGTAATGCGTGCTGCCGGGAGCACTGTGTCGCCAGCGTCTTGAGCCATGATGGCCGGCGGAGAAACGGCGAAGGGCTTGGTGCGCGGAATAGTGCGAAGTGGCGAGAATGTTAGGACTTAAGGAGCGAGAAGACGAGTGGGCAGTTGGCGAAAGGAAGGGGGCAAAGTTCCTGCCTCCGTATCCTTTTATCCTCGCCTCACCCACGCTCACCTCCTCGTTTCACGCCCTCACGATTGCCCCCACGATTCTCGCGCCCGCGGTTGTCTCTTCGTTTCCTGCGTCCACTCATCACGTCGCCCACTGAATCCGCGCCCCGCATTTAGTGCGCCTATCAGCGGCACACTCGGAGCAGGGCGCGCAACGGTCACGGGCGCAACCTGAGCGAACCGTCGCCACTACCGCCGCATGAGTAGCGAGCGAGGGAATTGAGGCGTAGTCTAACCGACCCCCCAATTTTCGCGCCTTAGACATCCTCATCGACAGCGCGGTCAGTGACAGCCAAACCGCTGCTGTGGTTGATACGCCAGTCTGGCCACTCGGCAGTTTTCCCTTAGATTACCTGCCGAGCCTGCAACCCTAGCTTGGGAAATCGTGAGGCACCACATCAGACCGACCTCAGGAGGCCAATGTCCGATATGGTGCCGGGGGCTACTGTCGGAGATATGGGTCTGGGGGTATGTGAAGCGTGGGGAATCTACCTTCCTGTCCTGTCGCGTGTCCCTACAGCCTGGTCTTGCCCCCGCAACCCGCGGATCGCTGGAGCGACCGGAGAGGGGTCGGGGCCTCGGGGTGCCACGTCATGCCCCTCGGGCCTTTGCACCGCTTCGCCCCGAGGCCCTCGCCCAGCCGCCATGTGGCAGAGGGAGCTAGCGAGGAGGGGGCCCAGGCTGAGCCTCCATTAATGCACACAATGCCCCAACTGCCCCCTGCCGCATTTAATGCAGTAAGGCAGACGTGCGGCGTGCGAATCTGACGCGCCATAATCAAAGAATGACCGGTTTGTGACCGGTCATGATTCTGGTCACGTCTGACTAGACCGACAACCGAGCTCCCACGTCGCGTCTGCTCCCGGCGAAGTGGGGGTAGGTATGACCCGTCCCATCGGAGGGTCATTCGGACGGCGGCCACCACAAGTCTTCATCCATTAATGGGGGAATGACAGGGTTGTCCCCCATGTCAAGCGAGGGACGGCGTTGGGCCCCACTCAAGGACAAGCTGTGGCTTTGCTTCCAAACGAAGGCACGGGTCGAGTCCCGGTCAAGATAGGGTGGGTCCCCACCCGAAAGAAGAGTAGGTAGAGGCGGTGTATGTGGTATCCACTTGAGATATAAAAGGAGGACCTTGCCCACCGAAAAAGGGGACGACTCTCAGAAAACCTGAACTCTAGGAGAAGAAGAGCGAGAGTGCTCTCCGGAGTTAAGGAACCCTTGTAACACTCAACCATAATCCCAAACACAGGAGTAAGGTATTACGCTCCACAGCGGCCCGAACCTGTATAATTCGATTGTGTACAAGCTAGCTAGCAGCCTTAGGGGCGGATACGTGATTTCTAAGAGGCGAGCTTCTTCCCCCGGCCGAACTCACAAAAGGAGGCTCTCACGACCTCCCGCTATCGAGGGACTTCCCTCGACAGATAACAATCCTCTAAATAATATAAATCAAACAGGCCTTGGTTTGAAATATATTATTCACCAAATTATTGCCACAAATAATCTAGTTTATTCTAGAGATAAATATTCTAAGACAAACTGAGCAAACAACATAAAACAAGTGGTCTATACAATACAAATAGAAGAAAGTTTTTTGAGAAACTACATTTTAGGTGTACAGTAAATAATCTGCGGCAATTAGTAGAGTAGATGAAAAGAACAGGGCGACAATTGTTTTATATATAAGCTCAACTAGTGTGTTTTTTTCCCCATAATTCTACAAAGAACGTGATTTGCAAAGAGAATCAATTAACGTGACACAAATATTTTATATACAACTATATCACTTAAACTATATACCGATATAGTTTGGACCTAGCACAATCAAATGCAACAAATATATTTTCAGTATTGACATGTTAATATTTTAAGCTTCACGATCCAACGCCTGGCTCCCTTTTGCTCTACTCCGCATCTCAATAACAAAATAGAACAGAAAACAGCTTTGGACTTGCCCTTTCTATTCTTGTTCAACATTTTGTGCAGCTCCCAGAAACGGTTCCCAACTACTGAACTTACAGGATCACTCTTCAGTTTCTCTATGATCTACAATTGCTTATTAGTCCAGAACGTCTAGGATTAGTCACCATAAAGAGTTATTCACCCCAAAAGAAATAGAGGAAGAAACAAGGAATACAATATTGTGCCCATTCTAAAATACATTTACTAGCATTTCTTTGTACATAAGTAACATCTAAGGTATCACTAAAGCTAAAAATACAATGTCCGGTACATATACATGCATGACACAATTGCTCATTCATGAAGGAACACAAGTTCAACCTTTGCTCATTCAGAGTGAACACAAGTTCAACCTCTTCCCAAGGAACATACAGTTACTGGTAATCAACTGACGATTAACGCCGTCAAACTTCCAGCAAAGTGGATGTGGCACTCATACCCCAAATAGAACTATTACTTAAGGTTCTTCAAGAATTGCACGCGCAAGGTTTGATGCTAGAGCTAATCTGACGGAGTTCAATGCATGGCTTGGTAGGTGAATGTTGGAAAAGTCAGGCCGAAGTTTGGCCAATGACAGTTCTTGTAGCTTGTTGAGCAACAAAGTCGTTTCAGCAACATTTAACAATGGGCAGGGTTTGCAATTGAGAAGCCTCACCTGCAGAAACAACCGGGGATAGAAACAGAATCAAAAGCCTGATACAGATTAAATTATTGAACAGGGGCAAAAAGAAGATTTAGCTAGCTGCTTTGCTGAACACCCCAAGTAAACATATGACTAGCTTACCGAGTCATGTAAAAGTGGTAGCCAGAAACGTTGAGGTGTAGAAGGATTTCTCATCAGCTGCACAGAAATAGATATTAAGTTTGATTTATCAAGAGTCATTCAAGGTGCATAAGCTATTGACAGGCTGACAGCACTGTCTGTGCGGTGTTAAATTGAATTGCAGGACGACAGCCCAGCCAAGGTGTAAATATTTTCACCTGTATAAGAAACTCCACGGTTTGCCGAACAGACTCGCCAGTCCTTCCTTCTTGTGCCATCTGAAGGGACCTTTTGAAATCTCGGTACCTGTGTGCAAGCATATGTTGAAACGAAATTTAGTACTCATGAAGAGAAGAGATACAGAAATTGATGGAAAGGGGACTAATACCTGTGAAGGAACTCAAGACCACCTGCACTACCGATGTCAGAACCTAGTAACTCAAGCAGCCCCTCCCATTGCTGACCATACAAAATTATAATTAGCAAATGTCATAAACAAAAACATTGTCGATATATCTGCTTGATGAAAAAGATCTCCCTTTTGATCAGATTTCTTGGTTACTAGTACACTCAGAACTAACTGCAGGTGTACAAAAGATAGGTCATAAGGAGGAGCAGAAATCGGCACCTTAAAACTATCATCTGTGACCGACTTGCCAATATGTTCGAATAATTGTTGAGCAATTCTGTCAAGACGAACTTTATCATTAGCTTGCTGGAACCAGTAAACTCCAGTTCCTTTCCTACCATGTTTCCAATGATAAATGCCAGCAATCTAGAAGAAAAAATAGATAGGACTCGTGAGTCAAAACGACAGGTGGGTACAATAAAATATGCATGCTGGTAAGTTTGAATATATAGATAATAACTAAGCCAGGTTAAAACTCCAAGAAATCTTCGTTTTGAAATCTTGGAAAAGTACAGGTGTACATGCATTGGGAAGAACATCTTACCTTCATGATATTTGTACTAACATTCTCCAGCTCATACAAGCGGCAAATTTCCAAAGTCTGCTCACAACAACAATATTAGGTAACAAAAAGCAAAGGTGCAGAAAAAATTCAAGGGCATATCAATACAAAGTACCTTCAATACAACACGATTATCTTGTATGGGTTGCTTCAGAAGCAGAATCTCCAACAGCCCTAGGCCTTGGTTTAGACATGAGGACAGATAAGTTGGTGCAATCTGAGAATCAAATAGGCAAGCCAGCCATTAATAACAATTATCAAATTATAAAAATTTGCTATCATTAACAGATAACAGCACCTGTTCAAAAGTAGAGGTTCTGCAACAAAAAGCTAGACAATGGATAATAACAAACAGCATGGTAGTCATACGCAAAAGAACGTCACAGTTATGCGTAGCAAGCAATTCATACAGGCCAAGTGTCATCTCAAGAAAATATCTGCCTAGTACAATCCACAAAGCTACAAAAAAATACCTGCCATGTTAAAGCATGAGAGCACAAAACTTGAGCATAAACAAGCCTGTGCAGCTCCTCTATGCTTATACCACCGAAGTTAGGCCTCTCTTCATGCAACATCATATCCGCATAGTCATTGTCAGCAGTCAGCAGCTCCATAGCATGTGTGACCATCCTGCATTTACAAATGGCAAAACACATTAAGATGCAATGTTTCAAAGTTGGCAGCATAAATCAAATGGCCAACAATACATCTTACCAAGGACCAAAATTTTTTGTGCATTCAGCCAAGACAACCTAATGTTAGAAAAGAAAAAAAAATGTCACACAAACAAGAAAAGTGGAAAGGATAAGAAATTTGGGGGCCTATGTAATGGATGATCACATTGTGTTCCAACCTCTCTATTTTCTGAAAGGATACCAGTAAGGAGGCCTGTCAATCCGCTATTGTCAGCAGACGGTTTAAGCTGTATGCACTTTTGTGCTAACTGATGCATCCCTTCAAAACCCTGGCAAACATATAGATTTTAGCAGAACATAACAAGAGGTTTTGATTGTTCAAATATATACTCCCCTTCAAAAAAATTGTTGCCACATATATATATTGACTAACTGTTTACATCACACAAGAAATAAGTGGGTACGGGTCAGTAAGGCAAACATCTGCCAACATAAAAACATGTTCTATTGTACAAGACAACTCAAGATGAATAACCATAATTACTGGATACCTTTTACAGGAGATAGGAGATGGTAAAAATATCTAGCATTCTCTTCTATATAATGGGTAATTTCATCATGTCACAGATTAAAGAATAACAAACTAAAAATGAACTCTCTAGCGAGGGGATTGCTCTAATAGCAGCTGCAAAATGCAAAATTGCGGTGACAAATAAATGAATCGACAAGAAAGCATTATAATGAAGAACATATTAGCAAACACAATAATATGGGACTAACCACTGTGAATGGCCTTATATAAAGTAAATGAGAAGCAAAGAGCTCCAGCCAATGTGAAGTAGAAGCAGTGAGGTTCTTTATGTTCCCCAACATAATATGAAGCAAACTCTTCAGACCATCACGAGTTTTTTGGTGACCGCACTGAATCCAGAATGCACTGCACTCCAGTTTACTTACTTGACCTCGCCATTTTTCCAATGCCTGTAAAAAATACAATTTGGCAAATGCTTTTAGCTGACGTCAATGGAGGCAATACAATTTCTGTGTACCTCCAAACACTTGGGCAGGAAACTATACAAGTTTTTACACAAATTTTCACTGCCCTTTCCTTCCTTTTTTTTTTTGAAGTAACCATTATGCTACTGAGCTTGAGAGGATATAAACATATAATTATTAATCACAAAAGAACATATTGTGCAAAATTCAAAGTTCAGCCAACATAGTCAGTAACTCTCAGCATAGATGAGCAGTGGAACAATGGTGGTGGGTGCAAAGCCAGCAGCAGCCCGAGGATGCAGCAGCAATCAGTGACAAAAGAGCACAGTAGAGCAGCTCTCATTTGAATCCAGTGGAGTGAATTCAGAAGGTTCACAATATATCAGAAGCACAAAGAAATATTATGCTTTACTGTGAAGAAATAGTTGCACAAGTGGCATACATTGAAATGAAGAACTAGTGGGCTAATAAAGAATAAGCAGTGTACTGATAGTCATGTGAGAAGATCATAGTGAATTAGTGGTCATGAAAGGCAAACAGCGTAGTGTGTAATTGCGTGCTAAGGCAGCAAAAAGGGTAAAATCAATATAATCAAATAATGATAGCATTTCATAGCAAGAGAGTTAGATTCTTCAGAAACATAGATTTGCACTACTGGATATGCAGCCAGAAAGTCAAAACATCAGACAGACACATTCAAAATGTTCTATGCATCAAAACTCTGCATCACAAAACATACCTTTATAAAATCTGGTCTTGTTTTACAACACTGGCCTAATTTACCCGATGGCAAATCTGGTCGCATGCGTGGCATTGTTGACACAAGAACAGCAACAGCTTCAACCAACCCATTTTCTGTCTGATGGACCAAAATGGGGGAAAAGGGTGATGTTAAAAAAGCAAGTGTATATAAATCAACTGGTGACATAAAAATAGCATATTTGTCAAAGCTACAACGAAATATAATTGTATACAATCAGGTACACTATAGGAAGATATAGCACATTTTCTTTATTTCAAAAGATTAGTGCAACACTGTAAATACTACTAGAAAACATAACAAATTAAGCCCTTGAAGCAAATAAAATGATTTTTATGTGAATGATAGATGCAAGTCATGAAGAAATAAAGAATGGTCTCAAAGCAACCTAACTACCTCACGGCTGTCCATCTGATCCAATTGGTATGATCCATGAAAACGTAGCATATTCACCTAAAAGAAAAAAAAAACAACTTCTGATTGTAGGATTCAATCAAAACTGACATGTCTATAAAATAGCGTGCAAGAAAATAGCTTACCACAATATCAAGCCATCCAACCGATAGAGCTGCTGATAATCCACTCCAATAATCAGGATCATCTTCAACAACCTATAGAGCATCACTCATTATTCATTTATACTCATTACTGCTATTGAATCAATGGTTGGAAGTAGCACAAATGAACATTAGTAAAATAGACTACAAAACAATCAACTCAAAGCATGGAGTTGTAGAAGTTTTATAGAGAAAAGAACAAATAAAATGATTGAGAGGTACAAATTTGACGTCTAATGCTATATGCTACAACAAATATAATGAGTCAAACCTGCAGGTTGATGAGCTTTTTCTGGAAATTGATCAGCGTGCGATATATCGTGTTCTCTGTCTTGGTCAAGAGGCTGTCATAGTCCTAAAACCACAGGAAGCCTGATAAGAGACGCCCCTAGGTATTGTAACAGCAAAGTCCGCTCACAATTGAAACAAAGCAATAGATCAAAGAAAGAGCATTACGGCTAACCAATCAACAAGACGCTCTGGAAGCCAAGTTTGCAACTGTTTATCAACAAAGAATATCTCTAGCAACTCCCACGCAGCCTTTAAACTAGTAGGCTTCTCCTTGACCTGCAAGATAAAATATACCAATTACTTTCTATAGGCAAAAAAGTAAATTTAACTTCAAACAAAGGCAAAGCAAGAAAACAGGAAACAATGTGACACATAGATATGGTCACCTTAAGGATCATCTTTGGGTCATCAATCATGTAAGCAGAAAGAGAATCTGGGTTCCCAAGGAGACTACCGATGGTTTTACTGTATTCAAGCACATATTGCCACCTGACAAAACATAGTAGAATCAGAAGCAAGCACATGGAAAAAATGGATAGCTTATACTAGGCAGAGGTTTGATCTAGATTAACTGTATAAACAGTGATTATAATACCACTTTGGCACAGATGTTTAAAATTTAACCATATGTGTACTTCAGATATGTCGATTTATCCATTTAGGCGGAAGCCTAAGAGCTACAAATTCAGCTTCTACAATATGAAAAAGGGTATCTGAATAGTTGGATAGCTATCGAACACAAACAATATAACAAAGCATTGCTAAAACTTAAAATTCTGAGCGATATGTGACATGCCTATCCCAGTACAAGCATAGCTTGGGCAGTAATCCTTTCTTTCTATATAGTTGGAACCCACTTAGTGCAATTACTACTACAAAGCAGCCACCAGGTTAAGCCACATCATCACAATTATCTCAGCCATTAGATATAATCAAGACGCTAAACGATTATCCTCGGACCAGTCCCCTTATCTCTGAATCCTACAAATTCTTAATTAGTGGATCCAATCCCCTTCACACCTAGCCTGCCGCATCTACTTCTCCCATTACGATGGAAGCAATTGTGCAGCAGAAACTGCCTCTGATAATTATAGCAGCGAGACCAAATGTCATGGTTAATCAGATTTATTCTCTTCCAAAGCATCTTTGAAATCCTCTTGCAGTCCTGCAGCCACGCATACCAGCGCTATCTCTTTTGTAGACCAACCGGATATTTGATCATCAGCTCTTGCATGGTGAGTGATATATTTGCTATCATTTTTTTCTCATTAGATCTTCATATTAATTTACAGTATTATCTTTTTCCCCCCAAGGGCTATTGCTTTTTCTATCCACCAGGTGATAAGTGAATAAGTGATAACATATTTGATTTGATGATTTGATCGGTTCATTTGACTCTTACTTTTGATTCGATGCTGATCTTAAAAGCAATTTTGTACAACCTGCAGATTATTTTGCCTTCCGCTGTTCTCTCAACCGCAAGATAGCTTTTTGATGATTTGATTGGTTTAAGTCCTTTTTTTATTTCACTCTGATTTAAATATTAATGGTTCTTGGGCAGGTATAGAAATATGTTATGGCTGTGCTCCAAGAAGGATGAGTCAATGATGTATGTGCTAATTCAAGGACAAATTTGTAGCAGATAATAGAACATCGAAGGATGCTTATATACAATGATTAAAATGATATGTTGTCAATGGTCTACAGTTTTCTTTCCGGAAAAGCTATGCATGCCCTCCTTCCAATAAAGTTCCCAGTGTAAGCATACAATTAGCTATACTGCTTAGTTGTTCGTCAGTTTTGCTTGTGAAATTTTCATAGTTTCGAATTGGAATTCATAAGTATCCTAGCAGTTGTTTATATTTGTAGTGATGTGTATTTATTCGTAAACTACAATTGTTGTCATCTTTTTCGGACTATTCCCTCGCACAATGTAGACATTGTTGCTATAAGAGCTGACTGTTAAATAAGAACAGTTCCTTTCTTTTTTTTTTCTCAACCAGTCAATGAATCGTAAGTTTACGGTCTGTCCTGTGATTGGTGCGATGGGTGATTCTACCCATACAACGAGAATAGCCATACTTCTTGGATTTATATTCTACCTGGACAAGTTTATCTCCAATATATAGGCATTGCCCTGAAACAAAGTCATCACCAATTTGAATTAATGCTATTATCTACACTCCCCATGATTCATGAACAAAACCAAAAGTTGTCTGGTCTTATTGACTTCTATCTCAATCTTTCACCCATGCTTCAAAGTTGTATTCTTCATTTCCCACAGCAGCGCGCAGGGTATCACCTAGTTAACAGTTTATAGACCTCTAAAGTCTTATACAGCAGCCAAAATGCCATATTAATCATCAGTCCAGACTAAAAATACTAGCATTTAGCAAAGTAGGCGGTCCAAATTCCAATGTCTTACCATTCTGCGTGCTCCGAGACTGAGGGCAAGCGCGACATACCGGAGCCATCTACGAGCGCGTTCTTCCTGCTCTGAAGCAGCGCAAACGCCGGTACCGACCCGTACTCGATCCTCCGCATTTCCGCCTCATCGATCTCCTCCGCATCCGCGCCGCCAGGCCCGCTACCGCCACCTCCGAGGTTTACCTCCACCACTCTCCCCCCGGAGACCTCCTCCGCCCCACGGTCTCCGCCACCCTCCGGATTCGGTGGGCGGAGGCAGGCGACCTGCAGGAGGTTGCCGCTAGAAAAGGAAACGTAGACGCGGGAGATGGGCGGGGCCACGCCGTGGCGGATGTTCCGCACGGGCGGGGCCGCCGCCACCGCGTGGCCTGGTTCTCCCGAGAACGGCACGATGGCGCCGCCGCCGTCCATCAGCATCCCTGGCATCCCCGCCGCCGGACGACGATGAGCTAGGGTTTTGGAAGCGGGAGACGGCGGGGGTTTGGGGGTTCGGGGGCCCGGGTAACTGAGGTACTGTACAAGTCTACAGGTTAGCCTTCAGACTAGAAGCAAAGCCGGCAGGTCTCTCGAGTCTCGACTTCTCAAGCTTCAGGGCATGTTTGGCACAGCTCCAGCTCCAGCTCCAGCTCCACCCTTCCTAGAGCTGTTGCTCAGCTAAACAATTTTAACTCCACTAAAACTGGGAGTGGAGCTGGGTGGAGCTCTCTCACAAAATAAACTAGAGTTGTAGAGCTGGGTTTAGGCAGCTCCACAACTCCACTCCAGACCCAACTCCTAGAGCTAAATTTAGGAGTTGAAGCTGTATCAAACATACCCTCAATTACAGTTCTCTGGATTCGTAGTACTAGCTTTGAAGCGTTGAAATTTTGAATGATGCAAACATCTGAAATTAGGCTTTTTTAAATAAATTATATTGGTGGTACACAATTTTATCAAGTGATCAGTGTAATCTGATGCATAAATTTATAAAAAGCATGTTTTGATACACAAGCTTGTCTACTTCGAAGAAATTGCTAAAAACCCTATCGTAAGTTCTAATTTGATAAGTAGTCTAATATATTGACGTGCAATTTTTTTACGTGTTCGAGAGAAAAAAATCTAATAATAAGTAGTACTAAAATACCAAATTATATTGAGTATGTATTGTGAAAAGGAATTTTTATCTATTTTCATTTCAAATACCCTATCTCAAATCCTGAACCCACCCTGTTGTTTGGTGCGTGTAAACCAAGACCAAAAGAACACAATAAGACTAATCTCGCTGATTTAAGCTATGATTAGGATGCGACGCAAACACGAAAAAAAAAAGATGCCACACAAACATATATATACGCTCAACCAAATGGTAAAATAAGGCACACTTATTGTACAGATAAAAGACATAAAATACTAAATAATGATGCAAGGGTGGAAATGAAAATAAGCGTAATGTAGAAACCGAGTTTATAAATATAGCATTCTCACTCCCATCTCTTATATGCACATCACGTCCTAATCAATTTTCAACTTAGTGAAATTAGTCTTGTTATGTCATTTTGGCCTTGGTTCACAAACACCAGACAAATTCATTAATCAAAACGAATGTTTTATAAGTTTGTACGCTATATTATATCCCCCTAACAAGTTCGTATACCACCAGTAATTTACTTTTTTTTATTAGGCTATGTCTGGTACAACATACTACTACTTGAAATCACCGTGGTATTCTGGAACGAACAATCTCTGGAGAAATTTAGATGCGAAATTTTCTGCATTTTTCCATGTGTACCTTTTTCAAATTAAGAAAAATAAGAACTCTTAGAAATACATTGAAATTACGATACAAGTGTCTAATATGTGGTGAATTTGGAGAAAAATCCAGTATGAGCTCTAGGTTTCTTGCCCCTAAAATTGTGAATTTTCTACCAGTAATGCGTGCTTCAAAAATCCAGCTTACCCAATTATCTCTGCATTATATATCTATTGAAATCGTGAAACTTATAGTTATAGAATCTTGAATTCAACTAGTATAGGACCAACACAACGTATGTGTGGATAGAAATCAATCCATTCTAATTCAACTAAATTTCAGTCCGCAGTGTTAAAAATAAAATGTAGTCCATTTTATTTAACTAAAAATTGGTCAGTTATTACCCACGTGTCGCTCCGTACTTATTCTTAGTTAAAGTTTTAGCTAGAAGCCGAGTTATCATATTCTTGTTTTGTTTCTTAGAATATTCCAATTCCTAACCATGTACATTACCTTTTTGGGAAAATCAATTTTGTTGTTCTCTCCAAATCCAAACGACTCAATCGAGCCAAAGGTGACGGTGGTGGTCGGTATGATGGACGAGCAAGTCCTCTCTCACCACCTCCCTCTACAATCCAAAGCCATGATGTTAGCTGGGAACCGTTAACGTCAAAATTTGGTAAAATTCTTTAGTGGATTCGGTTAAGAAAATAGCACAATCGTCCGATATAAACTTATCCAGAAGAGACCGAGTTCAAGAAAAAATCGTGAATACTATGGCATGGTGGCATAATTATATCTATTAATTAGGCAGGATTTAGTAGTTTGCTTTAATCTTTAGGATAGTATGTTTAGTGTCTATAAGGACTTTATGTTTTCCTTTTATCTTCAGGAAAGTTTCTTTCTTGTTCAACAAGGACTGATATCTAACCATGGGTACAAATATGTTCTATCAAGAGGTATGACTTGATCTCAGCGGTTTGCGTTGGCGGATTAGGGCGTCGCTTTAGATGTTCTAATCTATCTTCTACACCGATCGATGGTTATCATATATCTTAGTTAATCTAGCTTAACATCTTAATTTGATCATATCGACCGAGATTTGTTTTAGGGTTTATACAGGTATCGACTAAATTATCTTGCTAGATTAGATTAACTAAGGTATACACCACCCTTAAAATCAATCATCAAAGGCTTGATTGTCTAGACACCATGTTTTCTTTTATACTTTCCGCTGCATTAGCCCTAGTCGTGTTTAGAACTATAATCTCTACCCTACTGTTTGATTTTCAATAAAGGTTTCATCGGGGTATCAGCCGATGAGTTATCTGATGTTGCATCGGTTTATAAGGATTGCATACAGGTTGTTTTTAGCCAATTGCAACAAAGATTTTACTGTTTATCTAATCATTTGGATTTAATGATATCGGACCTCTAGTCGATGTATGCTTTAACCATCGGATCACTTATTCTATCATGACATTGTTAGCAGATTGGTTTCTATTAGATTATATTATTGTTTTATTATCATCAGGCGATTGTCCTTATATCACTATCTGCATTGGATATATAGTTGATTGCTCAAAACCTATCGACATCGGCTGGAATCGCTCTATCGGCTTGTCAGCCGATCGACTCTTTGGTGATCAACATATTTGTCTATCTTGTCAGTCGCAGGATCAAACTGACTGGCGCGCCGGCACCTTATCAATATTCTGGACTTGCATTGGAGTTAAGCAGATCTCCCATGCCGTTGTGTTCGTCGACTTAGTTCGCGCCAACACAGTTCCAGCACCATCGGCCGAGCGCGATTTTTTCGTTAACAGGAGCCTATGTGTTCTTGCGGTGGTTGGCTTTGTCAGAGCGGGCGATGTGGCTCTATTGTAGACCTAAAGGCAATCAGTATCGCATGTGGTGGCCAACTCGGCGCTAGGTTCCTTTCTCGGACTGAGTTCAGGAGGTGGAGTTCCTAACTTTACCTTCCCGCACGGAAAACGGTGTTGCCCATAAACGCGTGATTATTTATGTATATTAGCCTTAAAAAACTTGAAAAAACTTGAAAGATTGATTAATATGATTTTTTAAAGCAACTATCCTATATAAAATTTTTGCATAAAACAACATTTAGCAGTTTGAAATGCGTGTACGGAAAAAGAGGGAGGTGAGTTATTAGGAAAGAAGGGAGGAGAACACAACCTCAGTGATGTGTTGTGGTGTTGTCAGGGCATGGTCGCCTCGTGGTTGAGCTGGCACATGGTGGAGTTATTTTAATGTTTTTTCTTGATTATAGTTCTCAGGGCTTTAGTCTTTTGCATTTTTTTCTATTATGCTGATAAAAACTTCGCACTGTCTAGCAATGTTTGGGAAAAAAATCGAACATTAAAATCAGGTCACTGGACACACAGAAATTCACATTTTTACAGGAACAATATAAATTATATTACTAGAAAGTAAAACATTCTAAAGGACTAGCAGCCCACATATATTCTGGAGGCCATTCAATTTGGAAATAAGTCCATTTTGCCTCCCTCATCTCTTGCGCTTAACATCCCCCAACTGGAAAACCGGATATAACGCCTCCTTCGTCTCTTAAAACCAGAGCAAATCACCTCCCTCGGTGGTTTTGCTGGTGGTTTCATCCGACTTGGCATCGTTGACCAGGTTGACAGATGACTCAGCGTGGTGGGACCCACCTGTCAGTGTGTAGGCATTACAAACTCACCGGCGCTGAGTCAGCGTGGAAATGGGGATAGAGAAAGAGAGGTGCTTGGCGATGGCGACGAGGAGAAGGGCCGGCGACGAGCGACGGGGGAGGGGCACGGCCGGCGACGGGCGGGGAGAACCAGAGGCGTGCGGCGGCTAGCGGTGGCCCTCGTTGGCGGCAGCGGCGCTCGCTTGCGATGGACGGGAAGGGGGTGGCGGCTGGCGGGGAGAGGCGCGCGGTGGCAGGGTCCCCACGGTGAAGACGGCGGCCGGTCGTCGGGGCGGAGAAGGGCGCGGATACGAGAAGGAGACGCTGCAGCGGCACATTCCGCCGCTATTCGATGGGGCGCTCATCGGCGTCGACGCCGACAACGGTAGCAAGGCGCATGGCTTTCCCGCGGTGGAGGAGGCACAAGTGTCGGCCTCCCTTGGAACCCCTTTCGCTGGTTCTCGCTGCTCAACCCCTCGGTGTCTCGGAGCCTGCCGCTGCAATGTACATCCAATGTGAAATAATGCTACATGCAAGGTTTCTTTTTTATTTTGAGGGAAAATTGAACAAGAAAAAACTCCGGTGATTAGTTCAGACGGAAATATAGTTGCAAGAAATATTAGTTTGCAGAGGAGAGGAGGGAAGAGGAGTCAGCCGGTGTTGCGTATGCCGGCGGCGATGCCGTTGATGGTGATGAGCAGCGCGTCGCGGAGCTTGCGGTTGTCGTGGTGGCGCAGGACCTCGACCTGCAGCATGTTCATGGGGTTGAGGTACGTCAGCCTGCTCTCGATCAGCTTCCGCAGGCTGTGGTGTTGGCGGACAGCTTCTTGTGGCCGCTCACCGCCAGCACGCAGTTCTCCGTTCGCGCCAGCTCCTGCCGGAGCTCCGCCCCCAGCGCCCGCCGCCCGGCGTCGTGCACCAGCACGTCGTCGTAGTGCTTCGCCATGGGCGCGTCCGCCTTGGCCACACCATCTCGATCAGGTCCACCGTGGACTGGAAGAAGGGCCACTCCTTGTACATGGCGCGGAGCTCGTCGGTGTGCCCCTTGTCGCAGGCGTCCTGCAGGCCGCGCCCGACGCCGAGCCACGCCGGGAGCACCAGTCGCGTCTGCGTCCACGCGAA